TAAGGTAAATGAGAGAGTCGTTTTCAGCTGGCTAAATATTTATGATTAATTTCGTTTTATTTCATGCATAGTTAAGTTATTTAATTAAAAATTCCTACTAGGTCTTTGGCGCGTAATTGTGGCCCACTAATCGGAAAAACTGCCATTTTCCCAATGACTTAAAATCTGTTCTTAATAATATTTAAAATTTGAGAGGTTCTGAATTTATTGTGATGTTTTTTATGTATTTTTTATAGAACCGTGTCTGTGGTAAAATGAGCCATTTGATATTTATATTTTCCTCTACAATCACATATGTGTGTAAATAATAAATAAAAAAGTCAGGAGGATTATGATTTAAAATAATGTAAGTGTTTTCCAAAATTTATCTTACCATATGACGATAAAAGTGCTATTTGGTGAATAATTAATTCTACGGATACCGTAAAATAATTATTTTTTTGGCATGACAGTTATTTGAAAATAGGGCATCAACTTATTTAGAAACTTCATAAATTAATTAGAGTGATCGTAAATTCTAGTTAAAAGCTCTAAACTATATAAATGAAAATTCCGATTCTGATGCCAACTGTATTCTGTTTATTATATACTATTCTACGAAGTAAACATGATTTCATTGATAAAATTCTCAGACCTCAATGTCCTAGTTATTTTAACGGTAATTTTAAACTAAAAAATGTAATTTATTCCTAAGAAATTAAAAAGTGTAATTCAATCACAAATATACACGAGATATATATTTTATAATGCTACCTTGTTAAAGTACGCATAAAAAGTGTATATAAAAAAATAATAATTAATTTAAGTTATAAAATATCATATCAAAATTATTGTAACATGACCCACATCGAATCTCAAGAAAAAACAATACAAAATCTAGTATTCTTACCTTTATTTGGCGATTACGGTATTCGTTTTAACAATTTCTTAGCGAGTAAAAGTTTTGAAAAATAAAATCTAATGAGATTATTATCACACGTGTGCCCCTCCCCGTGTCCTTAAACCGTTTAGAGTTTGAAAACGTTTGTCTACGCGTATCAATAATACTGAACGCAGTAATTATAATAATAACGATTTCGAGTTGGGTTGGACGTCATTCGGAACCATCAGAAAGCGCGGCGACGGTATTTTCCCTCGCCGGATTAGTCGACACAGAGGCGACGGTCGTGGTGTAGGTTCGTGCGTAGTAGCCCACTTGTTCGACGTCATATGCCTGAAACGCTAGTGGCACCGCATCGAGACGACGGCGTGAGCCACTTCAGTTCGTTTCACGCACAAGACTCTTGCGGTTCAATAAACTATCGCCGTCAGAAGTATTTAAACGCGCCGACCAGTGACCGGTCATAGTGCAGTATAACATCATTGCCGAAGAAGCGACCACCGAACACTATAACTGGGTGAATACTATTAACAATCATCAAAATCGTCGGTATATCAAATCTGACGTCCCGCTGACGCGAATATCCCGTTTACCCTGTGTGTCTCACAAATACTATCGCCAATCGCAGCCGCTTTCTTTAGTCTGCCGCCGCCGTTTGATGCCCAGGCCTGTTTTTCCAGTTGTAAAGTTGCCTTACGACAAACCGTCGTCCGTCGTCCGGATCCTTGATACAGTCAAAAAGGAGCTCCGTGGAACATCGTCCGGTGTTCACAAACGTCGGCAATCAAACACTGTAAAAGGTTTGTCTTCGATAAAGAACATTACTAAGAGCAATATGACCGCTAGAATAGCCAGAGAACCCGAAAGATTAGCAAAAGAACCCGCCTCCTATATCGACGAACGAACTCTAGACCAAGTGACCATTGGTGTTCGGGACTGTACGTTGACACCTAAAATCAGACCCGAAATCCAAATAACTCCCGGTCCTCAATGTTCAAACGGGTTTTTTGATAGACTTCCTTCTTCTGCTGGACCGTTTTTACACGTACCACCTGTCAACATTACCGCCGAGATAAGCAGACCACCACTAGCGTAATTTGAAATGCGCCTGAAACAATTTAAGCTCCTAAGTTTTATTTTTAAATAAAACAGGAATTTTTTTTTTTCAAACTCAGACTAAGTAAATCATGCTAGTTTGTAGACTGTGATTTATTAAATATTTGAATAATGTATAAGTATTTATTATTGGAATAAATATTTACTCTTGTAGTAATATACGAAAAACTAATTAGCTATTAGAAAAAAGTTATATGATATTAATATAAAATTTAAAAATCATGCAATATCCAAAAAATAAATCGTTAAAAGGTTGCTGTTATTTTTTATTAAAATTATGTTTTTTTAGCAATAATATAATTAATGTATCTTTAGGTTCAAAATTGTGATAAATATGTTTGAATAACACAATTATTCCTTGGAGAAAATGGCAAACAGAGAATTTCTATCTTTAAAGTATTATTTGTATTAACTATATAATAAGTTATAAAAATATATATTGTTACAAAGGTTGATTTTAGTATTTTTATGTTACCTTGGCCTTATACAAACACCGAAAATAGAAAACCTATTATTACTAGCAGTCATAAAAATTACTTGTTATTGTTAAAAAACTTTGTAATAATCAATAACTTACTTTTATTTTAATAAATTTTCTAAAGGTCGAAATGGTTATCTCTATGTGTATACTAAACGTGTTAAACGATATTATTATTTTTCCATTCTCAATGTTAACTTTTTAATGAATAGTAAAGTTACCTAGTGAACAAAATGGGAAAGAAATCCAATTTATTATACTTCGATCAAACATGACTAGTTTAAAATAATTTATTTTATGTTTCTTTATACTTTCAAGTCTATGTTCATTGTATAAATTATACAGAATTTTAAAGATATATGATATTTTTGTATCACAGAGCTTAATTCCTTTAAAAACAAAAATGATTTGTATTATCTAAATATATTTCTTTAGAGGGAAATAAATTAAAACGCAACAAAAAATGTTGCGTTTATAATGAATATAAATCACATCAAAACAGACAATTAACAATTATTATTGACAATATTAAAAACACTGACTTTAAATTTGTTACCAGGTGGGTAATATAAACTAATTGTAAACATATTTTAATAGTTTGTACGTCCTTGAATTATTGTATTCTAAGTGATAATGAATACACCGAAATAATTATTATGATATAATATAGCATACTTTTTAACTTAACGCAGTTAATGCTTACTTTTAAAGCTCAAATATATTTTTCTTGTTACGTTCGATATCAAATACTTGAAGTAATTAAATTAATGAATGTTTAAATAAGTAATAACTTTTTTACAAATTAATTTTTATTATTATTAAAATAAATTTAGGGGGGAAGCATAGGTATTATGAAAAACTTTCAGGGAGAATAACATCATAACCTTAGATTTTTTCGTTACAGCATGAAAGAATAAAATTATATAATTTAAATGACACTAATGATATCATATCACATTATATGTCCATATTTAAATTTTTAACTCGCAATATCACTATATAGTATCCGTCATTCAATTAAAAAAATTGTTTGATTTTAAGCTAAAAAATATTAAATATCAATTGTAATTTTCTTAAAAATTTATTAATTATCGCTGAAATTCTTTTCATAGTTTTATGACATATACTACTTTTGATTATCTTATTCTTTACTCAAAATCCTAATATTAGTATTTTATAGTAATATGTTTGGTCAAAAACTTGGTAGTCCCAAGAATTTGAGGAAGAGCTGCTCACATGCTTCGAGCTCATCTATAAAACCAATAATTTTTAAATTAAAGATCAACATATAAATATATCTATACATATAAAAAATAGGATAAAAAAATGCTAAATTTTTATGTTTATAAAATCGTACATATATTTCTTAAATTATTAAATATATTAATTAAATAAATAAGCCCATTAGATTTTTTAAAAATACAATAATAAAAAAAATTAAATTTGTATTTTTAAAGATTCTAAAATAATAATAATATATATATATATATATATATATATATATATATATATTTATTATACATAATTATATGCATAGTAGAAATATCATTTTTTAATATAAACAATTAAAAACGCATAGGTAATTCGATAGTATATAAATAATTATATTTTGCAATTTGCATCCATACATTTCATTTCAATGCAATAATTATTATAATAATAATATAACAATTTCTTTAACAGAGTAGTTATTAAAGAAACCCTAAGCCACAGTAGTAAAAGTGTAATAACATAACGCTAAAAAAATGTAATAATAAAATTAAAAAAAAATAAGAACTTGGTTGTATATTGAATGTAAAAAAAAAACAAAGTGGAAAATTTTGTTCCAATAAAATGAAACTATACAAAAAATGCTGATTTACAAGTTCCTGTTCAATATGTAAGTATTTTCTTCCTTTCTTAACATGTTTTTTATACAACCAGAAACCAAAGTTTTTTTTTAATTTTTTTTTATTTGAGAAACAAAATCCAAATGGTACACAAGACTGTATGATTGAATTGCTTTGGCTGATTTTATTTTGTCCTGAAAAAGTGGATTAAACATATAATTATAAGGCCAATGTTTTAATTGATTTTCAATATGTGGAAGTATTTGCTATGAAAATAATTTTTTCATGCAAATATTTTTAAACTTTTTTTGAATTTTATTAATATTAAATTGATTAATAGTTTAATCTACATCGATAAAAATTAATATTTTTTAGTTATAAAATTAAGCTTTTCAATAAATAATATGTATTTTACTTTTTACTAGATGAAAAAACAAATAAATAATTCTAAACAGATTGTTATTATTTTAATTACAAAATATATATAATATTACGTAGTAATAATATAATCTTTATAATACTATACTTTAAATTTATTTAAAATTAAAACAATTTGATACTAAAAGACCAATTTTGGACCAGAATTCTCTGACTATATACTGTATAATTTGATTAAGTAAAAAATTTACTATAAATAAAATTATTTTAGTTGTATGTAATTGACAATTTTCAGTATACAATATTAATATTTACTTACGCTTGATAGCTAAAATATAAATGGAAATGGTGTATTCATGGGAGCTTGCTGTTGCGACTGTTGTTGAGCTTGTTGTTGCTGACTTCTAGACTGATCCCATTCAAGTTTAGGATCAAAAGTCATTTGACCAGCAGAATGGTGATTAGATGCTAATAAGTGATGAGCTTGTTCCATATGGCCATTAGCAGCAAACAATGGCATAGTTTGCATCATTGCAGCATGGTGACTTAAATTAGCATTTGTAAGATGTTCAGTGGACTAAAAAAAAAATAATAAAATATATTAATATTCGATAAATAATTCTAAAGTAATACAATGTAAATAAAGAATTAAGAAATAGATATTACCAATTCAAATATAAAAAAGCAATGATATAATTTTTACTTCATGATTCATATATAAAATAAATATGAAAGTACTAAAGGGGTTTAGTATCTCTAATTGAAAATTAGCATGTTGTAAAAAAAAAAAAAAAAAATACAGTTGGCATCTTTATTTCTCTAAAATATTTTTAATCAAATATATATAATGCATCAAAAATTCTACCAAAAGGATGTTTGGGCTCAATTGATTACCTTTAGTATTATAAATATATTTCTTTAAGAACACTTAAAACTTATGCTAATTGTGTCAATAGTAAATAATAAGGGACTCATTTTATTATTAATTTTTCACATGAAAAACAGTTCTGGAATTTTAGTATTATTAATATTATTAAAAAATTTAAATGTATAACATTTTTATTTAATTTATATACATTTACACTAAAACAAACAAGATATATTAAAGTACCTGATAAGTGTCAAAAATATTATGCTCATCCGGTAATGGTAATCTTGGACCAAGAGAAAAATTAATAGGAGGTGGAGGAGGTGTTCGAAAAAGATCATGATGAGCCCATGGCATTTTCATATCAGGCCAATTCCCAAGTTGTTGTTGATGAGGATTTTCACCAATAAGATTTTGTTTCCATGCTCGTTCAGTCCCAATAGGTTTTGGTGGGGCTTTACGCTCATCAAGATTAGGTGACATATTTGGAGGACTCACTGTTGCTTCTAATCCTGCAAATATTTCTGCATTTCCATTTACTGTATGGAGAGTTGGACGGCTAAATGGAGGTGGTGGTGGTTGGTTGATAAAATGCGTCCAACGATTATGATTAGGATTAGGTGCTACTCTCAAATTAGGTAATTGTTGTTGAAATTTTTGTTGATATGGCATGATATTAGTCACCATTGGAGGTTGAAGGAAATTTTGTGGTAGTTGATTATTATAAACTTGCTGAGGTTGTACAACATTTTGATTTGATTTAATTGTAGCAAAATCTGGAGCTCGGGGATTCAACCTCGATCGTTCAACATTTATTTGAGATGATTGATGATTTTGTTCAGTCATATAAGGTTGCTGGGTTTGTGAATGGTAAGGTTCTGGTTGTGGTTGTGGTACACCGGGTTGAACACTTGAATTTGAATTATATTGTGATACAGGAGAACACATAGGAGGTGTAGTATTACAACTTCCATTAACACTTCCAGAAGTCGTCCCTCCAGTTTTTGATGATATTGGTGATGATAAACCAGCTCCTCTGTAGCCAGGAGCTTTGGACGCATCAGCCATAGGAGGTTCACTTTCCAAGTATTTTTTTGGTTGTCCAATCGCACCAATTGATGGAGTTACTACTGGTACGTTAGTACCTCCAGTAAAGGTAACAGTTGGCTTTTGTCCAGTACATTCTCCATCTCTTCCCCACATAGTTTGAACAGATATCTAAAAAAAAATTAGTTAAAAATTAATCAACATTATTTATTCTCTATAGTAAAATGATAATATTAGTTTTCATTGTTATAAATATCATTTAAGTTCAGATATGTAAAAGGAACTATAAAATACATTTTTCAGTATTATAAATCAAATTTAAATAAGTTTTTTTATAAACAAAATAATAAGTATTATATTTAAAATTAATACATTGTTTTAAAAAAATACCTTAGAAAATGAATCAAATAATGAATATTCTGATGCATCGACAACTTGAGGTTTACTTTGCGGTTGTTGTGGTAATGGTGCACTGCTAACCATTGGTGATACTATAGCTACTGGATGATTCTGAGCAGATAACTCTTGTTGTGGTTTAAGTTGAGCGAGTGGTAATAAATTAGTGGATTTGATCATAGTTACTGTAGGTGCCGATATAGTTGCTGAAGAGGATACTGATGATGACATTGTAGAAGTAGTAATTGCTGATGTTAAAGAAGCAGATTGAACAGCTTTTGAAGGTTGAGGAGATGGTTGTTGACGAGACTTAGGAGTTGGATCCGAAGAAGATATTATAGCATTCGTATAAGACATTGTTGGTTTAACTGTGCTGGTAATTAACTTTTTATCACCTAAAATTTTAAATATTGTTTAGTTTCAATATGTTCATTTTGTATTTCTAAGTTTAATAAATACCTGCAGCTACAGCAGCTAGTGTAGGACGAGGTCCACTTACAGCGATGGAAGGTTTTATGGTCATTGATGCAATTACAGCTATAATGATATATTTCAATCAACTTGATACATTCTTTAAAATAAAAGAAATAAATATTATATACTTACGTTGTACCTGTGATGATTTTGATGATGAAACTAATACAGGTTGACACACAGCAGGTTTCTGTGACATTAAACCAGCATTTTTAGCTTTTGCATTATTCTAAAATTAAAACAAAATAAAACACATTTAATGTCAGATATGATATGAAATAAAAATATTATTAGGGATGGGCAAAAGGTCAAGATATTTTCAGTGACTAATCCTGTCTAATGAGAGATATTGTAAGAACAATTTTGTTCAAATGATGTATCAATTAGTCTAGGAGTCAATCTTAAACATAACTCATGAAATCATGAAAGACAGTAAAATTTATCATGAATGAATAATGTTCATTAGGTATAAAAATTTGAATTACCGACATAACAAAAGTACTCGATGATTTTTATTTTATCATCTTGATTATAAAATAGATTATTTGAGCTATATATTTGTAAATAAGCAGCCAATTAATTTTTAAAATTCAAATTACAAACTTAAATATATAATTATACTTAAGATCTTTTGTCACTTCTTAATTGTTTAAAATTATATAATATTTATATATAAAAATATTACCACAGATTTATCCCAAGCACTAGTTACTTTGGGATTTTTGGCTATGACACTCATTATGTTTACTTCAGGGTCTTTAATAAGCATAGCAATTAAGTCATGAGCTTGTTTGGTAACTTCTGTTGATCCTCTGTTGAAAGATATACATAGATGATATAAATTATACACATATTTGTAAAATAAAAAAATATATTACATACTTGATAGTAATAATTCTTTCTCCTTGTCCTTTACTTTGATTATCAACTTCAATTAATGCTCCAGTTGAGGCTCTTATGGCATTTATATTGCTTCCTCCTCGTCCAATAACACGACTTATTGCATTCAGTGGCACAGATACTTTCTTACTTCTGTAAGGTGATGCAAGATACCGAGTACGTACAACTTCTTTCCACCCTTCTTCTCGTCCTCGAGTTTGTTTGACTGGGCTTACATTGGAAGTTTTAGCACTTGTGTGATTAAAATCATCAACCCTAAAATGATTAGGGTGTAAATGATAAAATAAAAATTTGAAGTATTACACAAGAACAAATTTACTATAGGAATATTAAAATTGTTATAGAAATAGAATTTTGAAATTTTCTTTCTCAACTTTATGAAATATTAAGAGACTTTCAGAATTATCTATTTAAGATAACAATGACCATTAGAGGTTAAAAATAACAATAGTTTATTTTGTTTTATATAATAAGAAATATAAAAAATTTAATTAAGAAATCTTAAAAAAAATCATTTAACTAAAATATGTAATGAAAATTATTTAAAATACATTAAAATTTGATTTTTAATTATTAATTAAGTGTCCACTATCTATTGTTAGCATCTATAAAAAATCATACAAACATTTGGTTTCTATTAAAATATTAAAAGATAGAATAAGTAAACTATTTAATAAAAAAACTTTATAATGTAAGCTACATTAATTTTGTACTAATTTTTTTTTGAAAGTATAATTCTCATACATATAACACAATTAAATTAAAAATTTAAGAATTTAATTTTAACAAAAATAAATTTAAAAATGTTATGCTATTTAAAATTTGTAAATATTTTCTTATTCAAATATGTACATTAATATTAAAATGATTTTAAATTAAAACAATTTGTAATTTTTCTTTTTATTGTTTTAAAATAAATAATAACTTGAGTTTTAAATGTTAATAAACATAAAGATGACCAATTTAATATTTCAATTTAAGTTTTGAGACTTACTGTTTTTTATTTTTAGTAAGGAAGGTTTCATTTCCTGTGGCTTCAAAATCATCACGTGCTGCAGGATTTTGAGTAGATTCAAAAACCATGTTATTTACTATTTTATTCCCCTTTAAATTATTTAATTTTCCTGATTCTTTGCGAGTATTTGTAGTAGTATTATTGCTATTAGTCTGCTGAGGTTTCACTTTAGATGAAGTTGGTACCTGGAGGATTTTGACTGTATTTTGAGATATTTCTGATTTTGAAGAATTAACATTAGTAGTAACTTTATTTGTAGTTGAGTTACCATGTGTTTTTTTATCCTGCAATTTTTAAATTGTTAATACTTAATATAAATTTGATAAGTAATTAATTACTTTATTAGCTTTAGTTTGTGTAGAATTCACTTTGGAAGCATTAGTTTGAGTAGAAGTTGAATTCGTTAATAATTTTCCATTTGAAGGCAAATTATTTTTATTTTCAATAGTATTTTCTTTATTTTTCTTCTTTTTATCTTTTTTGGTTTGATTTTGAGATTGAACTATAGTTCGCGTAGTTGTTGCAGCATTTTTAGCATCTGTACTGCTACAACTTCCTTGACTATTAGCATCAATACCACTATCTCCTTCTTCCATATCAGCTAATATATTACTTAAGACAGTTACCTTGCCTTTTTTCTTTAAATCAACTTTTTTCTTCATTTCTACTAAAACTAAATGTAAAAACAAAAATTGTAATAAATAAATTATTATACTAGACATTAAACTAACCTTTTACGGGTACTTCTTCTTCTTCCTCCTCCTCTTCTTCTTCCTCTTCTTCTTGGCCATCATTTTCATTTTGTTCTTCAGGTTGCTCTTCTTCATCATTATTTTTCTTTCCACTTTTGGCTTGCTTCTTCTTTTTTTTCTTCATTTTACGCCGAGCTGCTGAGGCTTTTTTTAATTCTTCTTTTGTTTTTTCCATATCCAATTCTTCTAAAAGGATTGATGCATTTTTATTAGCTCTGGCAGCCTGTTGATCTTTAGATATACGGATAGCAACCATACATTCTTGACATTTTTCAATGGATTCCTACAATAGACAAAAATAAATACAAGGTTTATATTTGTTAAAAGGTATATATTTCATTGAAAATGATAATTAATTGATTAAATCTAAATTGTCTACATAATTACAAGGTTATTAACTCTCAAAAATTGCACTAAATAACAAAAATTTAAACTAGCAAAAAATATATAACCAAATATAAAGATATAATCTTAAATAATACCTTATCACTTAATGTTGCAATAAATCTTGTCATTTCTTGGTCACTAGGAAATTGAGACACATGATTTACCATCCATTTAACGACTTTAACATGACCTTTACGAAATGCAGCCATAAGACAAGTAACTTTTCTATTATCTTGGGAATCAATATTAGCCCCAACTTTGTAAAGTAATTCTATTACACCTAGGTGACCACCATTTGCTGCTAGCCATAAGGGAGAATTCCCTTTTTTATTCTTGACTTCAACAGATGCATTTCTTTAAATAAGGCATTAATTTATAGCAATTTTAGTTAAAAATGACTAATTATATAAGATTTCAAAAGTATTCTCAATTATAATACTTACTTTTCTAATAAAAGTTCAACAAAACGTACATGTCCTTTATCGGCAGCTATTGTTAATGCAGTATCACGAGAAGATGGTACTGGATTAGCATTAACATCAGCACCTTTATCTATTAATACTCTACCTACTTCTACATAACCACCACTAGCAGCTTCCATTAATGGTGTCAGTCCAGTCTAAATGAAATATAATTATATTAAATTTAGATATGTACATATTTTTAAATAATGTAAATGTATTTACCTTAGCTCGATGTTCTACATTAGCCTTTCTATCCAATAATAATGAAACTACTTCATGTCTACCTTGAAAACAAGCTAAGGTAAGAGCTGTATTACGATTTGTTTCAATTTGAGCATTGATATCACTTCCCATATCTAATAAAAGTTTTACAGCAGCTAAAAGTTGAAACATAATTAATTTTTCAGTAATTGAACCAGAAAAGGTAAAATATTAATTAGCTTTGCATTAAAGCTAATATTGAAAAAAAATTTATAAAATCATACCCGTGTGACCATTCATAGCTGCCAACATTAGAGGTGAGATTCCTAATTTGGAACCTGTTCGAGAGTTAATTTCCGCTCCATTGTTTAACAATAACTTAATAATATTAACATATCCACCCGAAGCAGCTAAACTTAATGGAGTATAATCTGATACATTTCTATGTTCTTTGTTGGCTCCTCTTTGAAGCAATAGTTCACAGACCTGAAAAATTAATTACACGTTTTAATACCGAAATACAACCATAAATATAAAATTATACATTATAAATATCTTTACATAACAATAAAATAGTCTACCTCATACCAAATAGGATAGTGTGAATACGTGAAAAAAAAGACCCTATTTGTTTTATAATAATTTTTTTTGAATTTCTTTATGCATTTCTATTTAAAAATGTACATAACCTTCCTTTGGGCATAACCTTCCTTTAGTGAGTTTAGTAAAAAGTTAGTTGTGCCTGATAGCTGATGAAGAGTCACTCTTTAGTCTGCTACATTTGAGCTAGACTGTGTTGGCGATTCTAAAACCTACTTCTTTAGTAGTTCACTAACTAAAAAGATTGGGGCTGACTAATATATTCAACTAGAAAACGGTTAATTAATTTGTGTATTTTTTTAGTGTATATATTGCAGTACTACCGATGTATGATACTAATTTAATTGAATTCTTACAAGTATAACTAAAAAAATATGTATTTACTTCTAAACGACCACCAGAACAAGCTAATGACAATGGCGTATCTTTGGTTCTTTCAGACTGCGCTTCCATGTTTGCTGCATTATTTAGTAATATTTCAACAATTTTATCAAAGCCACCAGTAGCTGCTAATATTAATGGAGTAAATCCTTTTTTGTCTCTATGTTCAATGTTTGCACCCCTCACTAGAAGTAATTTGACTAGTTCTTCATGTCCACCAGCACAAGCAACTGTAAGGGCTGTATCATGATTGCTTTCAGTTTGAGAGTCAACATTTATGCCATACGATATGTCAGCATCACTTCCATAAGACTCTCCTGTAGTGGTAGAGAATCCTAAAATATTTAATTATTCAATAAGGTTCAATCGATTTAAGTTTTTTTTTTAATAGAATATTTAGATGTTTAATTGCATTTTACATAGACAGAAAAAATATTTAATTTATTAATAAATATTATTTGTTAATATGACATTCTATTTTTAATAAAATCTTAAATTATATTACTTAAAAAACATTTGCATGATTGTACAGTATTGGTGATTAATGAAATTTAGATAGATAGGATTCATACCAATTTTTAACTAAATATAGACTTTTATTACATTTTTTAATTAAATAAGTTACTATTTAAATATAATGTATATTTATTAATTCATTTGAAAAAAATATTTTGCAAATATCTTTTTAAAATTACTCAAAGTAAATAATTTGCTAAGTAAAATGAGTAATATTATATATTATTATAATTATATTTAATTTAAATGAGTACAACATTTTACTATATAAACCTTATATATTTTATCAATATCATTTAAAAAAATAAATATAAGAAATTGTTATCTTACTAGAACTGGTTACATCCGATTGGGCAACAGAATTGGAAGCTTGGGTATTATTTGACCCAGATTGGGGGGCCAAACTTGGTGGCTGGGGGCGTACTTGATATCGTGCCTTTTTACCTTTATTAGTTGAGGTTGTTGTAGCAGTAGTTGTTGATGTATTTGTTGCTGAACGTTTGTTAGACGTAACAGACTCAGATTGTGTTTGTGTAGCTGCTGCTACTTGAGTAGGTACAATATTGTTTAATGTAGGTACTACTACAGATGACTGAGTTGTAGATTCATCTATTTTTTAGATTAAAGTTGTAAAATAATTATTAATGAACTAAATATTTGAGATTATAATAAATTGTATACCTAAACTTAATTGTGAAACTGCCCCTGCAAAATTAGCTATGTCCATAGATGATAAATTTTTTATTCTAAAGTCAATTGATGTTTGGTTTTGAACATAATTCTGAAAAAAATAATATAAATAGATTAATAAACAATAATCCAATTTTGTATTTTTAAAAATAATTTACTTTGAATGATTGAGAAGAAAATGTACTACTTAATGTAGAATCTGGTGGAGATGCATTTATATTACATCGATGTTTTTGAATTTCTTTTTGTAACCTTTCATCAATATTAGGTACTGAAAATAAACATTGATTATACATTTCAAATAAAATGTCTTAATATACATTTTATATTAATATAATTATAATAAAAAAATTATAATGTATATTTTTAACCAAGACTATAAAAGAAATTATGAAATTTTGTATTATTAGATATTTTTAAATGTTGAAATTACATTACATTATGGTATGTCTAAGAGTTTTGTTAGTAAAACTTTAGATTGTACAACCCACAATATGAGATTATATATATTTTTTCCCTATCATTGTTCATAATTATAACAAATAATTTCACTATTGTCTAAGCAATATTTTTAGTTTAAATCAGTTAATGTGTATGCAGAATTAGAAATTTCTACTTCACAAGTCAATAAGTGACTTTTATTGTTTCAAGTCATATATTTTTCCAAATAAATATCAAGATATTTTATTAAAAAATGGGATTTTGCTCTATATTATTTTAATACTCCAATTATTATGTTACTATTTATTTAATTCATTAAATAATATTAAAATATTAATTTTATCATTTGTAATGTTGAAAATTATATGCTTTAAAACAAAAATGAAGTTAATTAAAAAGATCATAACAAATTGATATTGTTTAAGAGGCATAAAAATTATTAAAGTATTTACTTAGCCAAACTTACAATTTGATATATCTTCAAGAGTTAAAGTTTCACTAACTAAATTTTCAATTAAATCTGCATCAATACAGTTTAAAGCTTTTAAGTCAATCTGGGTATTTAGTTCACTAGGAATAGGTAGAATTCCTGTAGAACTATGTGGTAAACTATCATGTAATGCACCAGATAATGGTAATAAATTTTTCACCATATTATCAGGTATTTGAAGGTCTTTGCGGACTTTCAAAAGATGTTCACTCATAAGTGAACTTATCATTAATTCTTTTAAGTTTGCATGACCATCATCACGTTTAGCTGTTTGCTCTTCACAAAATTTAATCATACGAGCAGCTAGTTCTTTATCACAGCCATCTCCCGAGTGCCTTTCAATAAACTATAACAAAATAATAGTTTATTTCTTTTGAGTAAAGTTGAAAATAATGCAGTGTTCAAAACAAAAAATATTTTCCACTAATGAAATAATGATTACAATATAAATAATGTATCCAAGGTAAATGTTTCATTATACCTCAGCTTTAAATTGAGGTTTCATTGCTGCCACTCCAGCCATAACCCCTCTTGCATAATTAGCATCTAATGTTGCCTGAGATGGATTGTTAACATTGGAATTACTAGAAAGTTGAGCTGGTTTCTTTTTAAACTTCGCTTTGATTTTTGGTCTATCACTAATAGCTGTAGTTTGAACAACATCTGAACTAGTAGATACAGGTTGGCTAGGACTAACCTTAGAAACATCACCTAATTTATAAGGAGAATTTTTTTTTTTTTTTAATAAAATTGTTTTTATAATTTAATGAAGTAATGAATAAATAATGCACCACAATATTTAAAAAACTTATTTACCTGAAGTTGAACCATTAGAAGATGTACTAGAATCTAAAACTCCAGGTGAAGATGAAGATAAGGAAGGTGGTGTTGTCATTAATGTAGCCATTGAAAGGCTTCCATTTTCCTTCAATTCTTGTTCTACCCTCTAAATGAACAGTGATTGTTTTTAATAAATTAAAAATATAATTTTAATTAATTACACTATTTAAGTTTATTTGTCCATATATATACATACCTTTAAATCTTCAGCTATTTGTTGCCTTTTAAATAACTGTTGCTCAATTGCTGCAGTATTTATAAGAGGTTTGGGTGAAGGGGTATTATTTTTGGTAGCTAAACTATCTTTTTGTGATTCAATCTTGAACTATAAAAAAATTATTATCAAGTAGTAAATAAATATTCAATTCCAAAATGTAATTAATTAATTTAAAAGATTTATATTTACTTGATGTTCACTTGTAGAACTAGGTGTATTTAATTGTGCCTTTCTTATAATAGCTTTTTGTATACAAGAATTAGCATTATGTTTAGCATTAGGTCCATAACTTTCTACAATTCTTCCAGCAATAGCATGTGCTTTTGACATAACCTGTACTTCAGATAGGGTTGATTCATCTACAATTGGTGTTTCTTGAGCTGAAGTATTAGGTACAGGTGATACTGGAGGAGTTAGCATTACAGAATGAGGATAATCTAACAATAATTTAACAACGTTGGTATGACCACCCTTGGCAGCTTCTATTACCATAGTTGAATTATCTTTAAGCTTATGAAAAGGATCAGCTGAATTTGCAAGTAGTAATTCAACAACAGCTAAGTGTCCTCCAGCACATGCAAGAGATAAAGGTGTATGATCATTATTAGCAGTGACTCTATTAATATCAGCGTTTTTAGATATTAGGAATTGGACAGTACATAAATGACCAGCTCGACAAGCTTTCATCAAAGGTGTTCGACCTCCTTCGGATTCATGTTCCTAAAACAAGTTGTTTGCAATGATTACATAAGAAATCAAGAAAAAAGGAAGCATAATAAAATTGTTTATACATTTATAAACTAAAATCATATTAATTATAACCAAAGAAACCTAAAAACAATTTTTGAGCAATTTTGCTCAAAAATAAATTGTTTAAAAACTCAATGAAAACAATGTTTGTTAAATGAATACAACTCATGGTGATAAAAGAGGGTTACATTTAATAATACATTGTTTAAGTTACTAACAAGATTGGCACCAAATTGCAAAAGTAAATCAGCAACATCTGTATGACCATTTTCACAAGCATAAGTTAAGGCAGTATCAGCAGAGGTTGTCTGAGCATGTACATCTGCACCACACTCTAAAAGATATCTAACTAAATCTAGATGACCTTCTTGAGCTGCTTCCATTAAAGGTGTCGATGCACCAAGTTCCAAGATTGCACCATTTTTTATCAAAAAATCAGCAACATCCAAAAAACCCCCACAACATGCTAATGTAAGAGCAGTTTCTTGTGTTTCTTCAGTTTGTGCATTAATATTTGCTCCTAAAATAAAATAAGCAATTATTATCAAAATTATATTTAATAATAATCCACTAATTATTATTTAGAACAATAGATATACAAAAGAAAAGTTTACAATCATTAATATACAATTTGTAAATACAATGTTTTTTGTTAACACAAAATTTAAACAAAATAATTTTAATTATATATATATATATATATATATATATATATATAATATGTCTTAACTAGCTCATAACTCACACAACACTCAATTGAAATTTCCTCAATGCTATTACTAGATGACATCACTAGACATCAATGGTATACACACATATATAATAATAATTAAATGTTGTATTACCTTTACTTAATAATACAGATACCATGTCTTCATGGCCTTCTCTAGCTGCTTCCATGAGAGGTGTATAGCCTTCATCATTTACTTCTTCAATATTAGCACCTCGTTCAATTAGTAATAATGCTAACTCTACATGTCCACCACAAGCTGCCAAAGTCAGTGGAGACTCAAAACTATCCGTAGGCATATTAACTTGAGCACCAGAATCTAATAAAAGCCTAGCAACTTCTACATGACCATCCATTGATGCTTCCATTAAGGCAGTGTGCATTTCATCAGTTTTATGTTCCTAAATAAAATAACAATTATCAAATGTGTTATATTCACAAGTAGCTGTATTACAAATTAAAGCTATTAAATAAATTTTGTTACTTGATCAGCTCCAGCAGCTAATAGAAATCGAACCATTTCTAAATGACCTTTATAGCATGCTAATGTAAGTGCACTTTCTTTAAACTCATTTGAATGAGTATTAATACCAGCACCATGTTCGAGCAAAATCTAAAAAAAAATCATTAATTTATGATTAAATGTAATTATTTAAAAGAAAAATATTTACTTTAGCCACCATGACATGGCCTGCACTAGCAGCTTCCATTAAAGGAGTATGCCCATTTTCATTGTGGTCTTCTACATTAGCACCATAATTTAAAAGTTCTTTAACAGTGTCAACATGACCTCCAGCACATGCATACATTAATGGAGTATTTCCTATTTATAAGTAGATTAAAAGTAAGAACTTTACAAATAAAATCAAAAATTTTTTAAATGTCATTTTAAAATATAATATTTAATTATTAACAATATTAACCACATATTAATATGTTCCCATATTAGACTTTAAATATAACAAAATACATACATATAATTGTACTTTATTATAAACACAAATGAACTGCTTATAAAAGCTAGTAAAAGGTATTATATTTTATAAATCAGGAATCTACTTTATTAACATACCAGTTGAAGATAAAGCATTAACATCAGCTCCATGGGCTAGCAACAGTCTAACTATCTCAACAAAACCTGAAGATGCTGCTTCCATTAAAGGAGTACAATCTCCTTTAATACCTCGATCTTCGACATTTGCTTGCATTGCAAGTAAAACCTAAAATTATATAAAATATTTAATAGAAATGTAAAGAAGAAATACCATATCAGCTTTGTGTTGGCACTAAAAGAATTTTTCTACACATATCTTTTACTTACTTGAGCTAATTCGTAATAACCCGCTGAACAGGCTAAGGATAACAGACTTTCACCTTCTTCTGATGTTTCATGGACAGATCGACCTTCTGTTAATAATTTTCTGACAGCACCAACATCACCATCATGGCATGCTTCTACTAAGGTTCTAAAGAATGATACAAGATAAACATAAATTTAATATATTTTAAAGTATAAAAATTATAATAAACATTAATTGAAACTCACTTATTTTCATTCTTTGTTTCAGCTCGCATTCGGGTAAGGGCTGCTGCTGCTTCGTCTAAAGCACAAGAAACACTATTTGTTAGTTTTCGCAGCACTTCAGGGTCAGTAGTAGTTTCGATTGGTACCCCAAGTTTATTAAGACCTATACCATACATTTCCATGTGTTACTTTTTTTTTTATACTATTTTATAGACAAACTTCTAATTTCCTTTATTTAATTTAAAAAAAAAAGTGTATACATACTGGGCCTCAGCATAGAGCCTGCTGCTTGTAAAAGAGCTTCTAATTGACGATGGGTATCAGGGTCACCCTCTACACTTTGTTCTGTGTCTGTATCATCAGCAGCTATTAGGAAAGTTGAATTTAATCGACTATTAGGATCTTCACATAGGTCATCGTGATCTAGACCAAATGATCCAACCTAAAAATAAACAAATTTAATAAAAACAATAAATTAGTTAAATTAAAAGTTATAAAAACAGACAACTTTTTACACAAGACAATAACAAAATAATCATGGGAATAGTATCTAGTAGCAATATCAAGGTATTTAAAAAAGATATTATAAAAATTTTTGCATCAGAAAATTATTCTTTTCATTTATTAATTATAATAATACCTTTTAAAAATTATTTTGAATAATTAAGATAATACTTAACCCATAAAATCAAATAAAGAGTTAATAAATGGGGGCATATTATGATAATTTGTGAACAACAAATAATTATAAAATTATAAGTCAAAATTAATTTTCAATACAAAAGTTTTTTCCAGAACTTCACACATTTTCCTTGTATAAAAATAATTTTTTAGATTAACTTATTTTATTTACAATCAAATATTTTCTAGGAATACGGGAATGGCAACTTCTTAGACCCTAGACATTCAAGAATCCAATTAAAGAAAACCTTGAATGAAAATAACAAAGCAGCTTAAATGCTAAGAATGGAGCATTTTAATGATAAACCACGTTAGTAGAGTAGGACATTTTATAACAAATCATAAACTATCAAAGAGATGAAAGAGAAGTCAATAAATAGAATTTTGGAGTCATAAGATAAACTAGTTTGTTCCTGACAAAAAAAAAAAAAAATTCAGAATTATCTTATAAAAGCAGGGATATAATTAAAGAAAAATTATACGAACTAGAGTGAAAACAGCAAAGCTCGATAGAAATAACTAACCAAATTTTCACTTCAATGAAAAACTTATTTTTATCATGAAATTCAGTACGAGGTGTGCACAGTACATTATTAGGTCTGAGTGTATAGATAGTAACAAAAAAATTAACAAATTGTATTTAAATGTATGTTAATTTCTATTAACATACATTTTATTTTATGTAAATATGCAAACATCTTTGTAAAACTAATCTTATATAAGCTAAAAGCCAAATTGTTTAAGCTATAGAATAATAAAAAAAAAATTTCAAACAACTTTGAAACTTAATTTATCAAATTAAGTTTACATTCTTAAATTTAATTTAGCTCAGTAAGTCCTCCAGTTTTAAAGTAGCCAATCTAAATAGAGGTAATAGTTTTTTATAAATTAACTCAATTATTTTCTAAAATTTAATGTTATATAAAAAGGTAATATTAATAGTTATCAAATTTTATATTTTATTTAAGATTATGCTGTTTTATTTTTACAATTGAGGAGTTTGGTACAATAACCAGATAACTCCACTTCTAAAATTCCACTTCATAAAAATGTAATTATTAATAAATATTACATGGTAAAAATCACTTAATCAAGAAGTACAAAAAACTGATATATATATATATATATTTATAATTTGTTATTAAGTTATATTATCAGAAATATAGTAATTTTTCTATAGTTTTAGTACATTTTGAAAAATTTTATTATAATTTTTTTTTAACCATTTACTTTATTATTCATAAAAATAATTTAACAGTAATCAAAACTACATAACTATAAAAAAAATGTAATTATATTAATTTATTTAAATATTTATAAAATAAAAAAAAAACCTGAATTTTTAATACAAAAAAAATTGTATCTTTGGGCTATAAATGTTACCTACATAGAAAAAAAAAGTTAGAACCATTAAAAATTATTTTTAAATTATTAATAGATAAAATCAGTATAGACAAATTAGACATCGTGAATAATTTCAAATCTTTATGCAGGTAAATATGAAAATTAAACATACTAAAAAATAAATGATATACTGCAGAAAAAAATGTATTTTATATTGTTATTTTTTGAGGTCCAAAAAATAGAGATTTTTTATTATTAATATGTATTAATAGTTTCAACATTTGAAAACTGCTCTGAATATATATATATATATCAAACTAATCAAAATTAAAATAAAATTTGAATTAGTTAAATAAGTTAAACCAAAAATTATTTATACAAATAGAAAAATAACATTATAATACACACATACTACATACATATTTTGCAAAGAATAAAAATTTAACGCATAATGAGTAATTTTTTTAAATAAAAAATGCTCCACTTGGAAATTTTAAGATAAAAATAATACTTAATAACTGATTATAAGATTAACATAGAGCATAGCAAAAAAGAATTAGATAGAAAAATTATTTATTAAAACTGTAAACAAAAATGAATGTCACACATTGGAAACAATGATGGTTTTTGTTTTAAGTATGTAGTCTATTTAATTCCTACCATATCTATATCCCAAAAGTTTCAAAACAAAATATATTTTCTATAAATTCATTAGAACATAAAACTCAATTGATATGATTTAATAATAGTCAGTGTAATATTAAAAATCAGCATGGAATATTCTAATAATTTAAATTTAAATGAATAAGAATATTTGATTCTATATGATAAATATTGTGCTTAATTGCATTTGGATGTTTAAGATACTTTAAAACATACACAAAAAGTTTAAAAAATATACATATTATTGTAAAATCTCACTATGTATGCGAAATGAATACCTTAGGTGAAACAGAAATAATCGATCGAACTGGAGAAAATTAAATTTACAATGGTTTCACACTCGAATATCACTATTAAAGCGACAAACAGAAAAAAAATTCAACATACTAAAATCAGATCATCAATAACTATTGAACAAAAAAAATGCTTTCCTTCAAAAACGGTATTTGAATAGAATACTTTGTTTATGACCCTCTCACTATGTAATCATAATAGATAATACAAAATTTAATTGACGAGAGAAAATATTCCAAAAATCACTTCTTTTTATAGGTTAGGTTGTCAAGCACACATACATATATAATAAATACACACGTTTCCCCTCACTCAGCCTAGACTGGGCGGAAACCAGTTGGGACAAAGGGTGCCCCCACAGAACAGTGGAATGTTTGGGGGGGAGTACGTATGGGATTTTCCTACTAAAAACCCCTTAAAGGTCACGGTGACGTCACTTACGAGAAAATAAAAAGTGGTCTGCTTTTATATCTCAACAAGCCATTATCATGTATATTTGTAACAATATTTAAATGTTTTGCGTACTTCGGATATTTCTTCCTCGGAACCAGACAAGTACATTTGATCGGGTTCGTCGTACTCTTCGTCCTGGTATTCCGACTCGGAGACAGACTGCAATCTCTTGTCGATGCAATTGTGGTCCGAGGGCTGGACGGGTGTCGGGGGCGTGAACGACGACGGCGAGGACGAGAGGCCGGCTGACGACGGTGCAGCCGTGGCGTTTCCACTGCCGTCGCTTGATGTAGGTATTTGTTCCATGACGACGTTTATTCGGCTCCTGTTGGAAGGCCGACGGTCGCCTTTTTTCTTTAATTTACCGATGTTTGGAAGCGCGCGATGTCACACACGAACACACACTGTAATCCTGGGCGAACTGTGGAACGTACGAAAAAACGCACACTACTGCTGGTATTAAATTTTCAACACTACTACGCTACCGCTGCAATGACCCGTGCGCGACCGCAATATCAATGGTCCATCACTACGACAAACGATCCTACAATAATTTCTTTAGGTTATACGGTTACTGGTGATCAAAATACAATCAGTATATGGTCGTAGGCACACGATTAAAACGTTTCGAGGGAGTTACAAACGAATTTCGGTCGGCGTTTCTCCTCTATGAATTATCAAAAAACGAGTGTAGATTGCGGAAAAATAGTTCGCCATGTCTACACCAGCGCCGCTCCCCACTCGATATCGACGGTTAGTATCGTAACTATTAGGTATCGTAGCGCCATCTATTCATTAATTTCATAACAACTTATACGTGCTGTCGACATTCTTTCTGTCCATGCAGTATAACATGGTTCTATTAGGATAGTAATAGATAACATATTATCACAATATGGTACAACATTACGAAAGTTGCCGCTGTGCAATAAGACTGTATAAACATATATCTTCAAGTTTGTTATGCAACACCACTAATAGTGAAAGGTGGTGATTTAAAAAAGTAAGTCACTTCTTTATAATAGCTTATTAAGAATATACTCATCAGATAAGACAATTTAAATTAGTAAATTATATAAATTATAATTATTATTAAGAAAATAACCAGAAGAATATTTTACAAAAATAAGAATTTAATACCCATAAAAACTTTAACAAATTAAAAATAAACAATAGTATATCTCAAGTTTGAAACCAAATAAAATTTTTAAACAAGTACACGTATATAACAAATATTATTTTTATGCAATACTTCCACTTTGGATACCTTGTAACTAAAATTTTACTATTATATATCAATATTTGTCATCCTAAATTCTATATCATCTCACATATGTGAAATATTGATAAAAAAAAAATAAATAAACATTTTTCTACATAAATTGTTAAAATTCATATTTTTCAAATATTAATTAAATTAAAATTGGATTAACTGTAATGGAACAGGCTTATGCTTCATTAACACTTTTTCAAGTGATTCACTAGATCTTAGGCCGAAAGCATCTAAACAATGTCGATCCATTAGTCCCACACAACCTCCAGATACAGATTGTAAAAATTTCCAATAAGATGATCGTAAATTCTGTGGCTCTAGTATTGCAGCATGAAATAATATAGCAGTCGAAAAACAATAAATAAGCACATTGGCTTGTGGTATATCTGGTAATATTTTACCGTTTGAACCTTTGTTGTACATTATCTGAAACAAAATAATAAAATTTTAATAATTTGAATTTGCATTTTCATAACTCTTAAGTTTGAATATTAATACCTGCAATGACTTTAACATAAAATATAAGGCAATTGTATTACTACGGTACATACAAAAAGTTAGACTAGCTAAAGATCCAGCTGGAATACAAATATACTTAGAATCTTTTCCAAGTATTCGTCTAGTAAAACATGAAACAAACTAAAAATAATCAAATTAAAAGTTTTAGTAACAAAAAATTGAATTTTAAAAGTAAATAAAATTAAGTAAATACCTTATAAATAGTAGAAAATCCTCCAAGAAATGCTCCCAAACTAAATGTATCAGGCTTTATCATTATATTTAAAATATAGGTAGGCTTACGTATAACTTTTTTAGCTTGCAATAATGATTTCAAGCACAATTGTAATGTATAACCAACAAGAAATATCTTTGTGCCAGACTACAAAAGAAAATATTAGAGTTGTTATTAATAAATAAAAATTATAAATAATGCAACCTATTTTTTCAATTAATTAAATGGTAAATAATTAGGAAAAAAAATATAAAAAACGTATTACTTACAGTGTTGAATTCAGAACTTTTTGCTAGGGTTTCCACATAATTTCATAAAATTACTAAAAAAAAAAAAAAAAAAAAGAGTTTTCAACTCAATATTTGATTAAATATCTCAGAAATATACCTGGATTCAACACTGTTTACTTATTACATTTGGGGAAATCTAAATGTGATCTTAAAATTACTTATAAGATATATAATATATATTAATTTTTTATTTTTATAGACTTCATTATTAAATTAAAAATTTCAAGTAATTAAAAAAAAAAAATGTTTACTAAAAATAACCATAAATTATTTTGAAACATGACTGTAGGACTTAAGGAATCAATAATCTCCTAAAAACACTAAAATAGTAAAAAAAAATATTAATAAAATAAAAACGTACCCAAAAAATGATATGATTTTTCAAACTTTCATTTAAAATTTTACTTTACTCACATTTTTTAATTTTTTTTAAACACAATACCTTTTTTACCAAAATATCATACTTTACTATTGCAAATATTTCAAAAGCCCTATATTCTTGTTTATTTTTTTGAATAACTGAATTTTGTTATACTTATATACAATGCATCAAAATAGTGCTTTATGTACAAAATTAAAATTTTAAAGGCTTAAAAGAAACAGTTAAAAAAAAAACACTATGGTTCCATGTATACAATTAAATGAAAATGTTTATCCCAACTATCATAAAGTTCAACTTAGTGTTTTTTTTCTATCTCACTTATAACTTTGAAGAGCCTTACAGACTAAGTTTCTACCTGAAATCATTTAAAACTAGGCATACATAAATAAAAAATATAATATGTAATAGTAAATTTTGCATACTAACATCTTTGAAAGATTTAGGGGCATTTTTTAAAAATATTGTTAAATAATAACTCGGTAATTTCCTAATAGCTTATAAAAATAGTCTCTTCCCAAAATTTCATTAAATTTGCCCCCTTAGTAATTAGGATTAAAATAGTCTTAGACATTTAATTTGTGTTTCATTTTATACATATGGACATCAAAATTCAGAATCCATTATAATTATGTTATCACTTTGTTCACTACAAATATCCATAATTCCCATTTAGTGGTACAGAGTATAATAAGCATAGTAACAGTTGACTATTATTATTTATTATACATAAATATATATAATAAGAGAAATAAATCTAACTCATAACATTTGATCCAATTTTAATTTTGCTGTAATTTTTTTTTTGGATAATTTTTGTATTTATAGACTATGTTAAAGGCATATTACTCTTATTAAAAATATAATTTGATGTAGTCTAGGAATATTTAAATTATTTAACAAAATAATTACAGCAAAATGTTATTTGTTTCATAAGTTATAACAGTTGACAGTAAGATCTGTTCCATTCTGTATATATTTTAACTTCACTAGATCATGTTTCACATACATGTTATCTTAGTCTTATTTTAAAATCTATTTATATTATTATAAAATCATAAGATTAATAATATAAAAAGTTTTTAGTGAAAGAAGTGCAAGAAAAATTTAATCTAATAATTTAAGTTCATTTATACAATTACAAATGATACTATGAAGCTATGATTGATAAAAATTAAAAATTTGACTTGCACATCTTTTTCTAGAGATTATGTACATTTAAAAAAATAAAAAAATACATACATTAGATATATAATGTAAACATCCATTAGGATGTGGACATGTTTCATTAACCCATAATTTTTTTAATTGATTATCCAAAGTGAAGTAAGAAGCCTTAATGTCTTCAATAAACTTTTTAATCATATTCTGATCTGAAGTGACATTTATTGGAGTTTCTTGAGAAGTTAAGGAAGGTTTAATGTATTCATTTTCTTCACAATGGCCAACAACAAATCTTTAAAAAATAAATCACGATTACTTTAAAGAAACAAATAAAATAAACTTAATTTAAAAAACAGCTGTAATATTCATAATTTCTGTCAATTGTTTTGTTTTTTTACAAATAGATTTAACTATTTTTTTTTTTTTTAACAAAAATAATAATATTATTATTATTATAAAAGAAATTATATAGCAAAAAAAGTATATTTGAAAACAGTGTAACATGTGCACTACATATATTGCAAATAGTTAGTATTTATTTGTGTTAATATTGAAAACATTTATTTCAGAATATATTTTAACTGTTTCAAGTATAATAAAATATAATAAAAATTGATCACTTGTGGCTAATTAATTAAGTAAAATTAAAACTATATTAAAAATATTATTAATTTAAAAAACTAAAAAATATTAAACTCAAAGCCACAAAAAATTAATGAAAAATCGCGGATACGTATTTCGGAAACAATGTTACCATTATCAACGCTAAACACATACTAGTTTCAAGTACATTATTGACTGTAGTAATCTATAAATAGAATGTTTGAAAAATTCTATGAACACTCAAGAAACCTCTAAAATTAAGGTTTTAAGCAAAATTAAATAGTTTAAAAAAAACGTTAACACAGTAGGATACGAATTGTATTCATTTGACATATCATTGAAAACAGTAGGTCAAGTTAGAGCTAAGAAATTAAATGATAGTTACAAAAAAACCATATAGTAAAATAATTTTAATATGAATAAGAAATTTCTTCTCACAAGGGTAAACTACAGTGATATTCATTGAAATTATTGAATCTAAATGAGATAGAAATCAAATGAGTTGAACATTTTTTTCTAACTCATAAAGAATTAAGAATAAAATGCAATAAATTCATAACCACAGACAGGATTGAACCTCGTAATCCAAACACGAAAGACACAAGTGTCATCGACTCGGCAACTGTAGGTCGCTTCCATCGACTAAAAAAAAAAGACAATTTAAGCTAGTTCAAAGTTCAAAATTATTATTCTCAACTAAAAAAAAGCAAAAAAATTTAAATAAGTATAAACTTTCTATACTTTGTCAATTAGATTTATATAATATTTATGAAAATCTGTGTAAGGTATTTTAAAATAAAATATAAAACACAGAATTTTAACACAAATTTTTAAATACGGTGACTATTTTAATCATAAAGACAAGTTCAGAGGTCAAATTTTATTTTTTTCAAAATAAAGTATATTACATAAGCTTTAATTTAAAGTATATATGAAAGTGTCAGTATTTCTGGAACATTTTCAAAAGTTAAGTTGAAAATGCTCTATTTTCTATATGCATGTTTAAAATTTAATCCCCCTTGTATTAAGGGAATTGGTTCGATATGACAAAGGAAAGTGGTATATAAAAAGTATTTATAAAAAAAAAGAAATATTGATTCATACATTATTAAAAAAATTATAGAAATATAAATTTAAAAATATAAAATCGAGAATTTTTTCACAGAAATCATACGTTTTCCTTTAACTTTGATGTCTATTTTCACCACAAAGACAAGTCCTTAAAGTTATAGCAATTTTTAGACAAAAAAGTAAAAAAAAAAGTCAAAATTTACTAATTTTAAAAATTACAATTTTTCGGAGAATTTCCTTCTTTTACGGGGAACGAAGGAAAAATTTTCAATATTTGAGGGTAATGTCTTCGACTAGATACAATTTGTGATCTTTTGACGTATTATTCATCAAAATTGTTCCAGCAAGCGGTGAGATTGAGCGTACACAGATAAAAAAATAAAAAAACACATAGTAAAATTAATACCTTTTCAGCTTGGCATCGAAGCTAAAATATTGTTGATATTATTAAATACACAGTATAGGTACATAATAAAACTTGAAGAACCATGAATAGGTAAAAAGTTTAATTTTATAATAATTGCAAAGTACATGCAACGGTTATTCAGTGACTTATTTTAGTGTAAATTAAGTTAAGTTTAAGTTTCAAATATTCAAATAGTATCACTTACTAGTGATACTATAGTGTTTTATATTTTTTGAGAATCTTAATCTAAAAGTTAAAGTCATATAATTTAAATGTTTAAAAACCTTGTATATCATATAATGAATGAGCTATAAAAAGTTATTATCTTGTATTTAAATAAATTTAAAAAAAAATTATTAAGTATCACCTTAATTATTATAATAATAATTTTTACCTCAAAAGAGAGTAGATTGAATCAGCTTTATTATGTTGACCTCGATAACAATATAGTAATAATGTTATAGCAGATCCAAATATAATTAAATCTCCAAAAGGTATAGGTTTTATTATTCCACGGCTTACCATCATTTTATAAAATGTTTCTGAAGCCTGAAATATAACTAGTTTTAAACAATTGTCATAAATTTTAAAAAGTAAGTAATTTTAAAAGTTATTTAACCTCCCATCAATGCAGAGTGTACTCAAATAGTCCCCCTATTTTTATGTTCAAAAAAGTACAACAAATCTATAAAATCTATAAAATTTGAAAAACTTTGAAAATTATATTAATTTTATTACCTATATATACTTAGAGATACATAGATAGAAACAAAGTCTTGATAAATATAATCCTTAATAAATTTAATAAATATGATCCTCAAAAAAGAATATAAAATATTGGAGACGATGCCTTCTCATTCTTCTTTTAAAAAAAAGATAAATAGTATCTGCAGAAGCATTAGTATTGTAATGCTTTAGCACCTTTTGACTCTAGACTTATCTAAATTTTAAAAATCTAGATTTAGTTTTAAAAAGACGGAAGCAAACTAGAAGCATTAGGTTCAAATCAAAATCAAATTTAGCTACACCTACCCAGGATATGACATCGATAGTGACCATAATCTGTTGATGGCATAATGCAACATCAAATTTAAGAAAAGAACTCAAGTAACAAAAAAGAAGAAAACTAAAAGTCCAAAATATAACCGAAGAATTCAAAAGACATTTAGATGAACTTGATATAGGGGACAAAAGCTGGGATAAAATGAAGATGGATATAATTAGAGTTACACATAAAATAATTGGTAAAAATAAAATAGTACCAAGGAAGCCATGGAAGACTGGACAAATTCTTGAGTTGATAGAAAGAAATAACAAATTAAAGAACAGAGATAAAAATTTATATAAAAAAATAAAAAACGAAGTGACAACCAAATGCCATTTATTAAAAGCACTATAGTAACATTCATAGATCTAGAAAAGGCTTTTAATAAAGTGGATTGTAGAATGTTATTCAAGATATTAAAAGAAAAATGAATTGATTGTAAAAATAGATGGCTCATCTTCAATTTTTATAAGGATAGAAAGAACAAAAATAAATGTAAATGGATCGGTAAAAGAAGCAAAAATAAGGATGTCTGAGAATTCTGCTACCTTGGAAATATCATAGTTTCTAATAAAAAAACAATACCAGACATCAGAAGAATAGTATTGGCAAAGCAAGTATTCCAAAACAACTTCTCATCAATAAACATCTAAGCATTGGCATACGCAAAACATTCATTAAAACATTTGTCTGGAGTGTTCTTTCATATGACAGTGAAACATGGACAATTGATAAGAAAGACAGAAGCAAACTAGAAGCATTAGAGTTATGGATATGGGGGAAAATAACAAAGACAAAATGGTTAGACAAGAAAAGAAATGAGCAAGTGCTAGAAGGATAACTATTAAAGGTGGTTGAATCAAGAAAAATAAAGGTAATTGGACATATCATCTGACACAATGACTTTATAATCAACATCTTTGAAGGAAAAATAACTGGTAAGAAACCAAGAGTACTCCCAAGGAAACAATATTTTAAACTCTTGAAACTTATGAACTGTGCGTCTTTTGTTTCACTGAAGAATTTGCGCTCAAACAGAGAGGAGTGGCTTCAACGACAAGGCATTGCCTTTAATAGATGATAATAATGATGAGATTTACTTGTTATATATAGACAAGAACTACCCATGTACTCAGACTTGCAGATCCATTGTGCACAACTATAACAATAAACTATATTTCAGGATTTATTCATAGGCCCAAATAGTATTTGAAACATGGGGATGTTTAAGTTTCAAAGGGCAAAATAAACTTACAATAATATAACAATATTACTATTACTATAATATAACAATCCATGAAAGCTTTAACACTTCAAAACAAATATTTATCTCTTTGCTCCGAATCATTTATCCTATCATATTTGTATTTATTTATAAATAAATAATAACCATTTATACATATATTTGATTTTTTCAACTGTAATTGTTGAAAATAAAACATATTACTATGTTTTAAATAAAATACACATACTATACAAATGTCATTATACACACTCACAATAATATAAGACAAAATTTAATAAAAAATAGTAATTATTTATATAATAAATTATTTATATAATAATATAATGATTCACTCAATTTTTTCTTGCAAAATTTTAAAAGATTGGAAAAATCTGCTTAAAGGTAGTTAGTAGCCAAAGTACTCAATCAAAGTACATCTTATGGATTTACCATCAATTTTTTTCTATCATTAAATTTTTGTTTAAATTTATTTGTAAGATTAAAAATTATATTTGTTAGAGATTTTTTTAGAAATAATTACATATGTATATATTTTTATAGAAAACCATTATTAAATTATTTGAATAATTATTGTAATAGAGGAATTTGGCTATGTCTCAGATCTATGATCCTAAAATTCTAAGATTTATGAGTTTGTGTGAGTTTCTAGGAAAGATTTTCTATAGTAAATGTAGGTAAATAATAAAAATCCAGGCTAATCTAAAATCCCACATTTCCCAGGATATATGTGAATTTGGTAGTTCCTTAACATATTCCTTAATTATCTGTTATACATTAACTCACCACATTAGTAACATAAAGAGTGAGTAATCCTCTTCTAGAAGGCCTTTCAATAAGAATAGCAATTATGCAAGTTAGAAAACATGGCAAAAAGGCTACTGATAACACATTAAAATTTCCAATTATTCTTCTACAACAAAATATAAATAGAGATTTTAAAGGTTAATTTATTTATTATTTATTCACGTTTCAATATTAATGGGTAAGAGGCCCTATTATAAATCATAATTTTACCTAAGTAAGCAGACTGCTGATGAAAAACCAAATGCATGACAACTTAGGAATGCAGTTGATTGTAGAATACTATAAAAAGTTTTAATAAGCTCCTTTTTTGTAGGCTTACGGCCTTTCATAAGTAATGTTAACTAATAAAATAATAATGCAATAAATAACATGAGATAAATAATTTTAAATATTTGCTAAAATTAGTACCATATATGTGGTCAAATATATACGAAAGGAAGCTTGAACTGAATGAATAAATAAACTTGCACTAGCATCCGAGCAAGATGTAACCCATGGATGCATATACTCATAGCATGAGGTATCAATTGTTTGTAGAACTTTGCTAGCCACTGTCATGATGATAATGTTTAAAAAATAAAATGGTTTAAATTCTAATTTTTTTTAATATTAAAAAAAAATGTTCACTTTTAAACAAATTTTATTAAATTTTGGATGTTGGCTAGACGATGCATCATACTTTCTAGTCTCTTTAGTACAACTTGCTGAAATATTATCACAGATTATCTGAAATTTGTATTGTAATATACTATTACTATTAATAAGAATGTCATTCAGTGTTATCAGCTGAAAAAATTAAATGAATAGACTTCATATCAAACAAATTTTTACGATATTTTACTTGGTATCAAAATCGAACACTTATCGATATCCAGTTATTAAAATAAAAGTATCGATACTACTCTTATTGAAAACAAAATATCAAAAGAAATATTCATATATATTATAAAAGTAATACTCTCCAAAAAATGAATCTCTAAAAGAAAACCTTTTTTTAAAAAATAACTCTTGCTTAAAAAGAATTATGAAATTCCCCCAAACAATTTCTTCTGGGTCCTTGTCTGCCCTTACACACATTATTTATTAAAAAAAATTAGGGTGTTCTACTAATATGAAGAACTACTAATTTTTGATTTTACTATTTGAAAAAGAGAACAAAATATTTTAAGACAAACACTTTAGATATTATCATCATTCTTATTATTTGGTGTTTTATATTTTTAAATATCAAAACATGTACAAATGTAATACAAACTGTACAAGCTTCAAATCAATTACTTAGCTTTAATAACTCTAATAAAATGAAGTTTAATTTTTAAGTTAAATCTAATTGATTTAATCAATTCATAATAATTAAATTATTTACATAAATGTGTAAAATTTTTCTTTAGACTTCATTCTTAGAAATGTAGAAAGTAGGAATAAAACATTCAATTTTATAAATAAAAAATTTATTTAAAATAATCAAAAAACACAGTTAAATAATTTAATTGTTTGCTGCAATAACTGCAACTTAAATTTCCAAAAAAAATTCTTCAACATTAAATAAATTGAAATAATTATTCCTTTTGTTTTAATTCCCTAACAAATTATTGGACACACATCTGTTTAATGCATATCCATGTAAAGCAGTTTCTAATGTATATTTTATATAAAGGTTAATTAAAAAAAAAAAAGTGTAGACTAATTGATTTCTTTTAGTCATCCTTATTTTTATCATAAAATAATGTTCAATAAATATTAAAGTCATAAAGCATTATAGTTATTACTTATAGTTATAACTTATAATAATTATAGTAATAACTTATAGTTATTTTACTGATAAAACTGTAATTCCTAAAAATAATTACTCTAATAATGATTTTCAACAAAAATAACAGAGTAAGTAGAGTAAATGAAAAATAAATAATCACTAACTAAATTACTAAAATTCATTACAAATGAAGATTGTAATAACAATCAATATTTAAACATTTATAAATATAACAATTCATTTTACTGTATGTTTCAGTTTAGAACATTGTAAGTAAAAATTAATGAAAAATGTTATACTTTAATAGACAATTTGTCAAAAACATTTGTAATATAAGGAATAGAACTGGTTGTATAATATGGTATAATTCAATTAATACAATACATGAAGTTTAAATTTTTACAATCATAAATGAGTATAAATCTTTGAGGAAATAAAGAACATTGAATAAAAGGAAAATATTGAGATGCATATGTTTTGGTAAAGTTATGAATTCAATTTCTTCATTTTTTTAAATTATGCACTTCTTATACTTTGAATAAGTTGAAATATCACTGAAAAATTTTAAAAAACTAGATTAGCTTAAAATAAAAATTGAAAGGTTCTCAATTAAAACAGATAAAATGTCTAAAGCTATAAATAAAGTCTGAAGATTTATTAATGAAGTAATCAATTATAAAAAAAATAAAATAACTTTTTCATTTCTAAAATTTAATTAAAACTTTATAATACTAATAAATTATCCTTATAATAGATAAGTAATACAATACGCCATTAAAAATTATTTTAATAAATTAATTTAGGAAAAAAGTTATTTTTAATTTCAGCTTAACAAAATATGTAAAATAGAAATATTAAATTAAAAATTTAACTATACAAATTTTATTTTTCAATTGGATTTAATATTAAAGCCTACGTAGATAGATAAATTATTAGAAATATGACTTCTTAATTTAGTTCTAATATAGCATAATATTAATTGCTATCACACTTTAAACATTTTATTCATAAAAATATAATTGCTAATACAAGTCAATCATTATAATGGGAACATACCAGATCCACAAACAACAAACAAAAACAGTGCTAATAACCATGGACTAACTGGTATCTTATTTTTTTCATTTTTCTATAACAAAATGAAGAAAATATTATAATACAATGAATAGATAAATCATTAATTGGCATAGCAATAAATAATAATGACATTATTGACAAAAAAATCTTTAAGCTTAGTATTATTAGCATTTATTATAAAAAAAATGTATAATCCTTACAGTTGATTTAGGTACATTTCCCCGTTGAGTGATGTTTTTGCTAGCTTTTTCATTAGCAATTCTCATCCGTTGTTTTGGAGCCATTTTTGAAATTATTCTTTAGTTTAAAGTAAATATGAGTTATTGAATACGTGGCAAATCGGTTAGAAAGGAATGTACATGAAAAATACGTGTAGAGTCAGTAACGTCTACACATAAAGTAACGAGTCAGAGATAAGAACTAATGCTCGTTGGTACGATAACCATATCAATATTAAATAAATTGTTTACCTCAAATCTTATCTAGTTGGCATATTTATAATCACATATACTTGCATGAGGTTATGATAAAATGCCAACAACATGATATTTTTCAGTGTGTACCGAATGATAACAAAAAATTAAGTTCAAATCATTTTGATAAATTTATTATTTATAGTATACATAATTATAAGCAAGAGGTAATATTTAATAATGTAACAACAAAATTTTAGAAAATATTCTAATTTTTTACATTATCTCAAACAATTAAAGATAAATATTTTTCCGATATCCATTTTCTTATTAAAGCAGATGGCTGCCATACACCATTAACCAATTTTTTTATCACCTTGTTTGATAGTATATTAAATTATTGTCATTACACGATAGTGTTTAATTATTTAAGAATTGTTATAAAGCATATTGAATATTTGACAAAAATGAAAGAAAAACTAACATATTAATTATAATGTTCTTATAATTTGCTACGGACTGTTAATTATTAAACTATTATGTCTTGTTGACTTAAATAAAATGGAAAGAATCTCAAGATATTTTCTTTACCTTATCTTAATACATAATTAATTACTAAATCGATAATTTTAAGTAACAAAAAAAATGGGAGGCAAAGGATCCAAAACTACCAAATTAATACCGCTTAACAAAGAAGAATGTGATGCTATTAATAATTTGATGTGTTACAAAGAATCAATACTTATTGACGAGTTATTAAATCGATGGAAACAGTACCTTACTGATAATATGGTCCATCACATTAAACATATATTTACTAGTAACAAACAATCAAAAACTCAAATTGTTCAAATATATCGATACTTAGCTATGAATGAAGTTTATCAGGAAAACTATCGAAACTTAATATTACAAATACTATCTAAATCAAATTTTCAACAATATATTGCTGATTTAATAGAATCAATACTGTTATGTATAAATTCCACTAATGAATATATAGCATGGACACAAATTCATACAAAAACTAATGCACTTCCCTTATTAAGCATCTACTTCTCCAATATTGCTTTAGCTGGAGACATTGAAAATTGGTTACAAACTGAACAATATTTTGGTTTAATGCATAGAATATTAATAACTACTCTTTACAATGTACCAATGAATAATAGTTTACTGCCAAATGTGAATATCAACAAAAAATTTAAGCAATCCTTTCATACTATCTTAGATTTTGGTTGGATAATGTTTATCAATAAGAACTTATCTCATGATTGTCAAAGAAACTGGCGTTTATTGTTTTCATCTAGTTATCACGGAGAAAGTTTTCAATCATTAACCACAGCTATAATTGATCAAGGATCAACAATTATTATAGTTAAAGATACCTCTGGTCATGTATTTGGTGGTTTTGCTTCACAACCATGGCTCTTAAAACCAAAATTTTATGGAGATTCAAGCTGTTTTTTATTTTCACTGTATCCAAATTTAAATTATTGTGCAGCTAGTGGAAATAACGAACATTTTATGTACATGAATAGTGGTCAGCATACATTACCAAACGGTATAGGTATGGGAGGTCAGATGAGTTATTGGGGATTATGGTTGGATTCTGAATATGGAAAGGGACAATGTAGTGTATCATGTTCAACATTTTCTAATTATTTAATGCCAGCTAAATCAAAAGACTTTATGATTGATTCTTTGGAAGTCTGGTGTGTAAAAGAAAAATCAAGAAATGAAAGTGATGAAGAAGAAAGAATATTACCTAATAATAGAGATAATTGGGATATGAAACTACTTGAAATGGCTGGTCGCACAAAGTACTCAGATGGATATAGAGAAGATGAAAATAAATAAATATAAAGTGTATATACCATACAATATTATTTGTTTTATATTGTAAAATTCAAAAATAACCTGCTATACTAGGTAATAGAAATAAGTTCTTAATTTTTCCTCAATTTTACTCTTTCATAAGTATGCTGCATTCATTAAATATAATTTGAATAACACAATTAATTTAACTTTTTTCACTGATATTGATGAAATATTTTTACTAAATAAATTCTATTAAATAATTGTTGAAAGAATATTATTTGTAATTGTTTTAGAAAACAAGTAATTATGTAAGTGAAAATAAATTTGTAGTTTACACTAAATACAATATTTTATTTGAAACTTATATGTTACATTTCTTTAAGATCAAACATTCATAGACTAACATTGCATAATGTAAATGTTTCTCATACCTCCATTTTTTGAATTTTTGTTACCCAGGACACATAAATTAATAAAAAACTTCTTTAAAAAAAATTATTAATTGCTCGTCAATTTTTTTTATTAATGTTGTTTTATAATATAGAATGCTTAAAATAAAGTTTCAAATAAAATATNTACATAACACTTAAATTCTATACATGGTAAACACTTCACATATAGTCAATGTATATTTTTAATATTTTTTATTTTTTTAATTAATAATATTTTTAATAAAATTTTAATTTTATTTCATAAAGTATGTTGAATACTGGTGCTCAAAATTATATGTATAAATAAATTTAATTTGAGAAATCTAATTAAAAAAGGGCTTCATAGCAGAGAGATTGCAATTACCATACAAGTATTTACCTAATTATTTTTATCAAATAGTATTTTCACATAGATGAAATAGAGTTCAGAATCATATTAGGCACCTTTAAAATAACATTAAAAAATATATATATTTAAATATGTTATATTTGGAAAATTCACTACTTTTGATGCATCTAGTTATAAAAATACTTAAGCTTCTTTATCTAATTCAGCTTTAGCTTTTTTAATTTCTTCAATATGTCTGTCTATTTCTTGTTTACGAAACTCGACTTCTTGTTTTAACTTGTGCAATTGATCAATTCGCTGTTATAACAAACAATACATTTATTGAGTAATATATTAAATAAATAAATAACTCACTTGATGGTAGAAATATTCTTCTTCTTTTGCAGCCTCCCGTTTACCCATAGCACCTCCTGCTTCTCTAATTGATCCACCACCACCACCACCTTTACCAGCTCCACTGCCTAAATCACCTAACCCACTGCTATATCTGTTAAAACTGTTGAAAAAACTTATTTATGATAATATTATTTTATTTTTAACTCTAATATAGTTAATAACTATAACAAGTCTAGTAAAAAAGAATAGTTATTAGAAATATAAAATAATCACTAATTACTCACTTCATATTTATTGATGAGTAAAAGTATTTTGAATTTTTAGTAATCAACTTGTTCATTATGACAAATTATTTTGCTTAAGACGTAAAAAAATTCTTTGTTGCTCTCGAATGTCAAACTACTAATGTTAGCAATATGTATGAAATATACAAGTATGGCAACTATACGCATTTAATCTAAGATAAGGTTAATAACTATAAAAATAACCTAGAATTTAAAGTATTATACCACAATATTCTGTGATAAAATGCCATCTATACACACAGATAGTGATAGTGTATTAATACCAATAGTAGTGTACTGTTCTTAATAAATTATTTTTGCATCAATAATTTACCAAAATAGTGAATTCACCTTGTGTTTTCGTAAAAATTACTCTTTATTTAAAATCAATAATAGTAAACAACATTATATTATTTTATTGAATTGTAATTTTTTAGCTTCGATGCGAAGCGGAGAAGGTATTAATTTTACTATGATGTGTTTTTTTTTTTTTTTTGTCTGTTGCCACTTTTTCTCAGCTCTCACTGGACCGATTTCTTTCAAAAATACGTCAAAAGATCACAAATCGTATCTAGTTGAAGACATTACCCTTAAAAATTGAAAAAATTTCCCTTGTTCCCTGCAAATGGGGGAAATCTCCAAAAAAATTACAAATTTAAAAATCGCTAATTTTCGAAATTTTTTCACTTTTTTTTCTTAAAACTTCTATAACTTTTTGAAAAATCAACAAATCAACATAATTTTTTTTTATACTAAAACCTTAGATATTTACCTTTCATTTGATATCATTTTTTTGAAAATCTATCACTTAACCTGCTCATTGGGGGGGATTTAAAATAGAAACTTTTTTACAAAAATTAACTTTTTCAACTTAATTTTTGAAAATGTTTCGGAAATATTGCGTCATTTAAACATATATCAAATCAAAGGTTATGTTATATACTATCAAATGAAAACGAAAAAATTTTTCCCGACGACCTATCTTCTATGCGCAAATGGCTGTCGAAAATTAAAAAAAAATGTAATGTTTGCGATAAAAATTACCTTTTATCGGGATGTTTTTTGTACTTAAAACTGCCATAACTTTTTCAAAAATGAACAAATAAAAATAATATTTTTTTGTACTGAAACCTTAGATATTTCCCTTTCATTTGATATAATTTTTTTTGAAAATCTAACACATATTCTGCTCATTGGGGGGATTTAAAATAGTAACTTTTTTACAAAAACTAACTTTTTCAACATAATTTTTGAAAATGTTGCGGAAATACTGCGTCCTTTAAACATATATCAAATTAAAGCTTATTTTATGTACTATAAAATGAAAAAAAAAAATTTGTCCCGACGACCTATCTTCTATGCGCAAATGGCTACCATATTCAAAAATATGCTATTTTAACAAATTTTTTTTTTTTAATTAAACACTATCTACAGATTTGCATCGAAGCGTTTTTTATGATAGTGATTTTAATCACTGTCAGATATCATCTATACTGGACCCAACTATGCCACGACCCCACTGTGCCGCCACCCCACTGTGCTGGGTTTTTTTTTTAATTTTACCATAATGTGTTTATTTTTTTATTATTTTTGTGTCTTTCACTACTTTTTCTCGACTCTCACCGAACTGATTTTTCTCAACAATACGTCAAAAGATCGTTATCTAGTTGAAGACATTATCCTTAAAAATTGAAAATTTTTCACTCATTCCCCGTAATTGNTAGATATTATCCTTAAAAATTGAAAATTTTTCACTCATTCCCCGTAATTGGTGAAAATTCCTCAAAAAGTTACAATTTTTAATATCGGTAAATTTCAACATTTTTTTTCCTAAATATTGCCATAACTTATTTAAAAATGAATGAATTAAAATAATTAATTTTTATATTGAAACCTAAGATGTTTCCCTTTCATTTGATATAAATTTTTTTTAATCTGCCCACTAAGGGAGATTAAAAATAGTAACTTCTGTACAAAAATTTAACTTAAGTTTTCAAAATTTTCCGGAAATACTTTGGGCTTCAAACATATGTAAAAATAAAGATAATGTTATGTACTTAATGTTAAGTTCAAAAAAAAATTTTACCCGACACCTTTTCTTTTATGGGATAATGGCCATCTAATTTAACAAAAAATGTAATTTTTATGTAAAAATTACTGTTAACACGAAATATTTTAATATATAAAATTGCCATAACTTTTTGAAAAATAAACAAATTAAAATAATTCTTTTTTATATTGAAACCTTAGAAATTTTTCTTTCATTTAATGTAATTTTTTTGAAAATCTGATTTGATCTATCCACGGGGGGTAATATTGACACTTTTATTTCATCTTAAATTAAAGTTTACGTAAAAGACTTAACTATGGAAAAAATGTTGAATGATAGTTAAAATGGTTATCATATTTAAAAATAAAAATATTTTTGTGTTAAAATTTTTGGTATTGAATTTTAATTTATCTTAATATACCATATAAAGGGAACATAATAGCATTCTCCAGTTGAAATAGACTACATACAGGACGACCCGATCAACCAGAACAAGTAATATCAAGAATTAATCGCAATTGAATGAGGCATATCACTGTCACCCCCCATTTCTTGTGAGATGTAAAATAAATATTTAATATATTAGGGTGGTCCTCTGTCACAGGTGAAGCAAAAAAAATTTTGATTGTTCAGTTGCAGGACCCCCTAAATTTTTTTATTAGTATAAATAAAACATTTTGGTGAAGTTTAATCGTGATTGGTCAACCCCTTCCCGTGCCGCAAAAGGTTTGAAAATTTGATAAATGGGGTAGTTTTATAGTTTTTTGCTTATATTTCAATAACAAAAAATCGTACAAAAAAGTGTTCAAGTATTAATTTGTAGATCTAAACTTGTTCTTTAAAATATGTTATGACATTTCCTGATTAGACCATTATTTGGTCTGCAAAATTTAAAAAATAGAATAATTTAATTATTTTACAAAATCGATTTTTTCTATTATTTTTTTTGTATCTTACGTATGGTCGAATTTACAACAAAAAGTTTCTTATAAAATATAATTAAAATAATATTTTAAGTAAAAAAGATATATTGTAAAATTTTAAATTGATTCACCATTTCTTTTTTATTGCGAAATTTGTCTCGTAATTTGGCGAAAATAACAAAAAAATACAGACAGAACTAAATTTTTTTACACTTACATATTACGAACTATCGATTAAAAAAAATGATTAAGTATAAATTTATTTCCGATTAAAAACTTTAGTTAAGTATCAAATTAATATGAACAAAGTTTCTAGAGCCTGTTTATTACACTCAGGATACGTTTTTCTGTATTTTTAAACTACCTTAAATAAAAATGAAAAGTAAGTTAAGCTAAATATTTTTATTACAAATATATTGCTGTTTAAATTACTTGTAATAAGAATTGTTATTGATTTTTATTTTTGGTGTGTTTGTTGTTCTAATCTTCCATGAGTTTAACACTTCTCTCAGCATTGTCATTGACGATTTTTAGTCCATCAACAATTTTTTTCCTAATATATAGAAGGAGTCTTTTTCCCAGTCAGCTCGGTCTACATCTAAATAATTTATGTTAATACCATATCTTTTGAATAAGTTTAAGGACTGTTTAGTGAATAATGAAGTTGGAAAATTGTTGCTAAAAATTCGGGAACTTTTTCAATTTTAAGTGACAATTTCTTTGAACTTAATACGTCATCTTCTTCTAGTTCATTTTCCAAACTCAAATCATTAATCTTGGCCACAATATCTTTTTTTATTTCTGTGGGTAGTCTTGTATCGAAAATAGAAAACGCAACACACTCGTCACTTAAATACCACAAATGGTTTAAAAATTTCGAGAGGCATGCATTTGCAATCTCTTTGTCATCATTTGTGTAGGTATATAAAGTTCGTATTAAGTTTATGTCATTCATGGAGCCTTGCTTATTGTGGTAGATGTAACCCAAGATTTTATGTATACTTTTATAATGAATGTATAAATTCTTTCTAGCGCATGGTCGTCTTATATTTAGCACATCAGGTGAAGAACGACCCGATTGAGAGTTTTCATATACATCAGTGTTCCAATTTTCTGATTCTTCTGATCTTAAATATTTTAAACTAGTAGCTGAAAAATATTTACATTGAGGTATGTTGAAGTAATAATATAAATATGCGCAATATTTATACAAATTTATTTGTCTATCCGAATCTATTTCTTTAGAGGCAGTATTAAACTTAAGTGTTTTTGTTACTTCCAATTCAAATTTGTCGGCTCTTCTTTTTTCTTTATCTGATAATTTTATATAGATTCCTAGCATACAACCAGGACGACCTGGCTGTCGTTGTAAAATTAAAAACTTTTTGTCTTCTTCAACTTTTATAATTTCTAAAGCATTTATGTGAGCAATGTCAAAAAGATTATCTAAGTCTTTTTGAAATGATTTAAACTTTTTGGGTGTTTTTCATTAACTCTGTCCTTTGATTTTTCTATATCTCGCCAAGTTTCATAATATTTTTTCAGCTATTTACACAATCGGTTTTATGCTTTCTTGGAATTCGGGCTTTCCTCCAGTAATGAGACATTTGTCTATCACCAAGGAAGAGCATTCCGATAAAATAAATTTTACAACACGTAAATTAAAAAATAAGACTTGTAAACAATATTTTTAAAAAGGTAGCTTACTCCCTAATATTTGATTATTCAACGAACCGACTAAATAAATTGTTTGCGTTGCATTTTTAATAAAAATATATCTCATGTATACAAATAAAATTACATAAAAAAATCACTATTCGATATATATAATAATAATCTACAACTGCACTGATATTTAATAAAATGTTATCAAATCATCACGTTTATGATGATTTGTTAACAGTGATAACGTTTCTTATTTAACTTTTGAAAATTACGCCGTTTGTATTTTTCATATAATTTATTATAAACAAAAATTTTCGATATTTAAAATTGAGTAACTGCTTTTTACTTTATCGATAGTTTGCAAAATGCAAGTGTAAAAACCCAGCACAGGAGGGTCGCGGCCCAGTGGTGACGTGATATATTTGGATCAAGTATAATGATATCTGACAGTGATTAAAATCACTATCATAAAAAACGCTTCGATGCAAATCTTTAGATAGTGTTTAATTTTAAAAAATTGGTGGATTATTC